TTGGAGGAGATTATGTTGAGAAATAAAAAAAAAAAATTTTTAAAAACCTTGTTTTTCTTGGTCAGGCCGGAAACTTATCAATCCACCCTCGTATATTATAGTAATGTACCAACGTTTAGACTTCATGCAATATTGGCGAAAATTCTAATTTATATATTTAATGTTCCACATGTTTTTCTTCTTTTATTTTTGAAATCTTAAAAAATTAGGAGCTACAATTTTTTTGAGCTGTCTTTTGGAAGGGGTTCTTAAAACATCGAAAACTAACATTTCTTCACTCGATATTGAAAAAAAATAATTAAAAGCATGTTTGTTTTCGATTAAAAATTAATGCAATATTTTTAACGGTCTTATTTTTCTAATATTGAGTACGAATTCATCATATATCAAATTCAAATATTTGATCGAAAAGTTCTTCAAACTTTATGAAAATATTGAAATAGCTATACGACTACTTTCCAGAAATTCAGAAACTACCCAAACATTTGTTGAGAGAATGGTTGGTGGTAATCGTTTAAAAAGATCAAACAGTTCGAGTAGAATTCCCGTTCCTATAACTAAAACATCTTCGATTTTTAAGCAATCGTCTCAAGACATAGACTTCAAAAATGATATCACCTCCAGTTGCTTTAGTTTATCTACAATTTCAACAGAAGAATGCAAGGTATAGATTAGATCGTTTTATCCAACCAGACCTTTCTGACTTTTTTATGAAATTTTTAAAATTTGGGTCTAGTCTACTTAATTTTTCCTTTCGGGTTACGGAATATTAAAAATAAATGCTCTATAATAAAACTTGTATCTCGTACAAATATGAACTCAAATCCAACTGACCTTAAACCTTGTTAGGATTTGGATAAGCAAAGCGAAATAAGCCGAAAATCGGAACTCTTCATCCCAGAAAACAAAGAATCCGAAAAACAATGCAATAGATTGCGCAACGAAATGATGCATTTACAATCTAGTTCGCTTAAAGAACAAGCGGCGCTCAATAAAAAAGTTGAACTCATTGGCAAAGAAAGACGAGAGCTTGCGAAACAGTTGACTGTTGCACGAAAAGAAAATCGAACTTTGAAGAATCAATTGGAGGAGTTGATTAGCGAAAAGGGGATGTTGCTGAAAAGATTAGAGTCAGCAGCCAGGGAATTTAAAGTTAATATTAAATCGAAGAAGGCCGCCATGGAACGACTGGAGCAGGCCGAATGCCAAATTCAAACGCTCACCGAGCAACTGGATTTTTCTAATAAGCAAAAGGAAATTTTGGACAGACAACTGAAACAAATGGAACAAGAACTGATTAATCTTAATGGGGTAGGTATGCGAAGGGCTGATAGTATCACAGCCCACTTCTTTGTAAGCTCATACTCGTGGTAGATTCGTTTCATAAAATCCATCATTTGTCACATGAGGTCAACACGCTACATGAGGCTTGATCTCTATAATATCTAATCAGGTACTTGATTTATAAAGTCCATCCATTTGATGTTATCGACACTAAATATTTACGTAACAATTTCGAAAAATTTTGGAATATGTAGACTTAAAAAAAGCAAGTCTTGTTGAGGAGCTGCCAAATTTACCTCATTTGGATATTTAAAATGTAACTACCTACCTGACCTGAATTCAAATGAAGACAAGTCAAAAAGCTTGAAAAATAAATGTACAGTGGAATTCGTTTATTATGACTCCGCCTATATTGACCAACCACTTAATATGAAGTAATTGCAGTGTTAAGTTTGGTTTTCATATTAAATTCTCTATAGGAAAGTTTGGATATAATGACTACGTTTAAAATGACATATCGTTTATTATGACTTATTCTCAAGAAATCATATCCGGCTATAGTGACCCAAATGATTGTTTATTTTCTAAGACTATACTTTGTATGACGCCCGCTTAATATGACGTGTTTGTCATTTCCCTTTGGTGTCATTATAAGCGGATTCTACTGTAGTAGCTTTTGAATTTACATTTTTTTGACGTGCTTTAGCTTCATGTATTTTGATAAATTTTCCAGAAAATAAGTAACGAATCCTACCTTGGTAAACCGTCGATGGAAATTTTCGATAAATCTGCGGATTTTTCGTCTGATACTGAAGAAGGTAAAGTTAATAAAACGCCATTGAAGGAACCAAATAATAATGCTGAGGTATGTAGTAAATTTCGAGCGATTTTGTTTTGTGTTTTCAAATTTTCGAGAACCTCCATTATTTTTATACAAATATTAAGCTATCTAACACAATATTCAATAAACATATTTTTGTGGGAAACAAAACCTCTACTACACAAATATCCCGATCCTAAAACTCCCTTTTTTCTCTAAACTCTTTCAGCTCAGTCCTCGGCCACGGGAAGTTTCCCAAAACCGTGTGGCAGTACAAAAAGTCCAAATGCGACTTTTCAATTTGGAAAAAAGTTTAGAACGATTTAGAGAACAAACGTTACTGAAAAAAGACGATCCTACAACTACCAGTGCCCCAAATAGTCCCAAACAACAATCAGAATTAACAACTGAAGATTCTCCTCCTGAAGTGCCCGGTTTTATAGATAGAACTGCTTCTGACTATTTGGAAATGTGAGCACAATACATGTCATCATCATCATCATAAGGTCGTCAGTCCTAGAACTGGTTGGACACGTACCTCGACTCTTTCCTATCCTGAGCTAAACTTCGCATTTCCCTAAAACTAGAACAGCCCACATCTTTAACTATTTGCGAACAGTAATCTAATCTAGGTCTACCTCTAGTCCTGTTAACTCCTGTTTCTGCCTCTAGTATGTCTCTGACTAGACCTTCATGCCTAAGAAGGTGTCCTACCAACCTATCTCGCCTATTTTTTATTGACTTCCATAGAGTCCTCTGTTCTCCTATTCTTTCCAATACCTCTTCATTTCTAACCTTTTCTACCCACGATATCCTCATCATCCGCCTATAACACCACATTTCGAACGCTTCTAACCTTTTCTTTTCCGCCGCTCCCACTGTCCATGTTTCGCACCCGTACAACGCCGTGCTCCAAACATACACCTTTAACAACCTTTTTCGAATTTCTAAATTAACCGTTCGCGAGCATAGAAGTGACTTCTTTTTATTAAAGGCGACACGACCCTGCGCTATCCTCTGCTTTATATCCCTACTACTCCTTCCATCCTCACTTATCTGACTTCCTAGGTATCTAAAATCAGCCACTTCTTCTAATTTTTCGTCTCCTATTTTTATATTCGCTCTTTGCCTACTTTTTTTTCCCTTGCATATCAGTATTTTAGTTTTACTTTTATTTATTTTCATACACCACTGATCTGTCGTCAATACCGCTTCCATTTTATTTAAAGCTATCTCTAAGTCCTCCTTGCTAGATGCAATACTTGTAACTGATTATTATTTTTACAGGGTCATGGGTGTGTTCTATTCGTTAAGAAATATTATGATTTTATTTATTATTATTATCATAAAGTTTATAGAAGTCAATAAGAAATAGACGAAATAAGTTGGTAGGACACCTTCTCGGGCATGAAGGTCTAGTCAGAGATATATTAAAGTCAGAAACAGGAGTAGAGGTAGACTTAGGTTAGATTACCGTTCACAAATAGTTAAGGATGTGGGATGTTGTGGCTTTAGGCTCAGGATAGGAAAGAGTGGAGGTGCGTGTCCATTCAGTTTTAGGACTGACGATCTTATGATGATGATGTTCCTTTAGAATCTATAATCTACTTAAGAATAATGGCTCTTTTGGACTTTTCTAAAGGCTTAATTTGATGTCCAACACAGGACATAGGTTATCTTTTATCGAAAAAAAAATACGGTTCTCGAGGGATAGAATAATTAGTTCTGTGTGGACGTCGATAATTTTTGACACGTATATAGGATATCAATGCGAACGAAGCCGCGGGAAAAACCTATCATGAAATTATGTACGTACATTGTCAGGGATAAAGAAAAGGACATAGGGTACCCTTTTATTCAGAAAAAAATACTGTTCCCGTGGGATAGAAAACTTTGTTTCATGTGGTCGTCGATGATGATCCTCGACACGTATTTAGGATATCAATGCGAACAAAGTCCCGGGTAAAACCTATCACGAAATTTTGGACTCAAATTGTCAGGGATACAGAAAAAGAGATGGAGTATCCTTTTATTCAGAAAAGAATACAGTTCCCGAGGGGTTGAATAATTAATTTTCTCTAACCGTCGATTATGTTTGACACGCATTTAGGACTTGGTGAAACCTAGTACTATTTAAACGTATAACATGAGGAGATGTTTTGTTCTCCCTAATTTCTAATTTTCATTTTTTTTCCGTTTATTAGGAACGATTTTTTAAACAGAACGGATAATCTTACCGATGAGCAGAGACAGGAAATATTAAAACCTCAAACACCAAAAATGCCGGCTAATATAGAATTGGAAGAAAATATTCCACCCTCCATCCCCGAACTCGCATCGGACCACAGCGACATAAGCGAACACTGTCCTCAATCACAGGTAGGAAAAGTCCTTACACGTAATATTTAATGGTAAATAGATAAATATTAAATTAATTGTTAATGAAATTAATTGTCTATCATATTTTGTTGATCTATTACACAGTCTTTCTTTTTTCTAAATAATTTTATCCTTATTCATCGTAAAGTATAATCACAATTTATCGAAATTCTCTAACGAAATTTAAACAATTTATGGATACAGTANCGTATAATCCGTACAGTACTGCACGGAAAAATTGACCATTTTATCCACTACAATTGCATTGCTCAAATGTGCTGTTGTTGGTACCAATTACTACTGAAAATATCAACGAGATGTTTATTTATATTTGAAGACATATTAAAGGCTTTAACGCTTGTTTTCGACTCACACTACTATTCATGAATGAACAAAACTTTCGGCTGATACTGTATGAAAAAGTATGTTTAATGAATAACAGTTGAGAGTATATTGAACTTTTTTCTTCCTACCTACGAATTTGCCAGCGCGCATCCAAGACATTGGAAGGGGAACATCGATAGAGAAAGTAAACGAAGTATAATATCTCTGTTTAAGCAGTAACACTCCAAAAGTCTGAAGATGCTTAAATAAACCGAAACGTTATAAAAAATATACAGTAGTGTAATTATTTGATCGCCACCCTGGAAAAAATACATAATAAAAAAATATTATACGAGGAAGTTTTCAAAAACAGATCAATAAATTTTTAATTAGTTGACGATTACGGTTCGAATTGAAAAATTATAAAATAGAATACGAAATTATTGAAGCGACGCGTAGAACAAAAAAGTTGATGTTTGGGATTTGATTGGCGATTTTCGCGAACAGGTTAATCTCATGCTTAGCCTCTTCAAGTCGGTAAAAGGAAAGGTGGAAGTTCGTGGTGACGAGTTTTGTACGGACGACGAGTCTGTTTCGATAGTGAGTACAACAATGAGCAGTCAAGTTGACGAGGAATCGAAAGAAGATTGCGATGCTAACGCCAGTTCGAGCCAGAAAAGGATTGTCAGCAGTTCGCCTGCTTTCCAAAAGTTCCTCAAGAATCTGGACGGCATCGAGAAAAAGACGACCGCCATTCTCAATCACATTTTTTAAATTTCGGAATTCATTAACTATCGCAATTGCTACCCTTATTTGTGTGTCCCCCAATTTTTTGTGTTTTGCTTTTTTTTTCCGTACAATATGTATCACAATCTGCATGTTATTAAGTATTCCTGAATGTCGGTTTTCAATAAACGACCCTCTTTGTTTATTTTTTGTTATTTTGAGACACTCGAACACGAAAATTCTCAATTTTTTTGAAAAACTAAATATTTTTGTACATACCTACTATTCACGATTGAAGGTTTATAAGTAATTTCCCGAGATAAAAATGTGCAGTCTCTCAGAGTCTCTGAAAGCGAGAGTCGAGTCTCCGTCTCTCATCGAGTCTCTCTGGTGTCGCTGAGAGAGATTGTCTAGAGACTGTCAAAAAAACTGTTTAGCATCTCCCAACGAGAGACTCGTCGCTCATAGAGAGATCCTCATTTCGTATCCAGTCTCTGAACGAGAGACTCGAATCTCTCAATAAGTGGTGTCTCGATAGACATGGTTAAAATTNAGACTCGAGTCGCTCATAGAGAGATCCTCATTTCGTATCCAGTCTCTGAACGAGAGACTCGAATCTCTCAATAAGTGGTGTCTCGATAGACATGGTTAAAATTTTCAAAGTTCAACATATTTCAGAGATCCCAGTCTTCCTACGAGAGACTCGAGTCTCTCAATTTTTCAGTTTTATTCATTCGGTCTCTCTGTGAGAGACTCGAATCTCTGAATTAACAATTTTATCGTTCGAATCTCTCATACAGAGACTGTGAGAGATCCATAAAAACACCTAGATAATAACTGAGAGACTGTGAGAGACGCTCTCAGAGACGCTATAAGACTCTGAAAGACTCTGAGAAACTGGAGAGAGACTGAAAATTTTTGTCTAGGGTTTAATAACTGTTAACTCTGATTTTATCCTTTTTATTGATAACCGCTTCTAGTGACAACCGGAAACAACACAATCTCTATAATTTTAAATTCTAATTTCGAGTTGACATTCCTCCTGTATGATGTTCATAAAATCTTCAAAAATTTTAAATTTTGCACCACGTAATTGGTTTTGTATTAGGTAATCAATTTTATTATTCCATGTGTCAAATGATAATGTAATTGTAATACAAACAAATCGTTAATTTAGTAACACAACAATTAATTTTTTCCATTCACAAAATGCACCAACAGGTTTTCGCGAAGCCCCTGTTTGGCGTTTTAGCGTTTCGCTCTTATTTTAATTTTCCAGAGACGGAGAATTGGAAAACCATTTTCATTCCGCAGCCTATGTCATTGTAGAATGGAAGGATCTTTAGAAAGTTTAGAAAATTCCTCGATTAAACAGAATTTCACGCCGAATATTTCGGAAATAGAACTAATACCCGAAGACCTGGAAAATGTTAGTAATAGCAACAATCTTCATTGTAAGAAATTGTGACTCGTAGCATATACTTATTGTAGCAAACATAATTGAACTATTGTAATTTTTAACGCGTTTGCAGTGCCAAAAAATGTAACTACTTTGTTCCACCTTTACTTCTAATTATTTGTTTATAACGCCTGTACCCCCTTTTAGTACAATAAATTATGACAAACTAATACGTATAATATGGGCACTGATTTTTTTTCTATATTGTCTACAAACCTGTCTTAACAGCAGGTAAAGCAGGTAAAGGTTGGTCTGTGTTCTGTCGGAGCTGTCTGCGACGCGCTGATGAGATCCAAAAAGATCGAAATCGCGATCCGCATCTGGAAGTTTCGACAGAATACAGACCACTTCGAATTATTTTATTATATTGTCTACAGCTTTTTTTCAGGCTGAGCCTCGAAAACTTGAAAAAAGACCAATTTTACCGAACCAAACATTTAAATAAAAAATGATTTTGATTCTTTGATTGTATTGATTTAGAATTCCCCGATATATTCAGTTATATTTTCTTAACATTTCCCTGACTTTTTCAGGTTCTACCGCATTTCCTGACAATTTCTGGTTTCTGCCAACCCTTTCTTTATCATACCTGTGCTAAGTAATTAAAGAACAAATAATCTTTCCTCGATTTTTAGCACGATGATGCAATATAACCTTTCCTCCCAGAATTTTTTAAAACCTACAAATTTCTTTCAAAATTGTGTTAAAACTTTATACCATTCAATACCGAAAGATGGTGTCTTATGTAGTAAAATATTCCTATGTTCGATTTTTAACTCGCCACGTGTAGATTAAGTTTTTAATACTCTACACTAGAAACACTGTTGGACTATTGTTTGGCAAATAACTACACAATATAACACTATACAGGGTGGTTATAGATTTAGAAATATGAAGGAATTTCGAAATATTGTTAATGTTAACTAATAAGTATGCCAAGTTAGTTAGTATGTTTATTACCATTTCACGCTTTAAGTACTCAACCGATCACCATGAATTTTTGCAGACACATTGTCAGGGAAATAGAAAAGAACATAGGGTACTTTTTATCCAGAAAAAAATACTCTTCCCGAGGGATACAAAAATTCTCGATAGAGGACTGACAGTGTCAAATTGTACGTTTAATCTAGAAAATTAGAAACTTTACTTTTATCCTGATGATCCTTGTATTCTTATCATTTTTGATAACTAATAAATTAGTAAGTAACACATCAGACATCATCATCTTTTTAAAATAGTAAATATTCATTAATGTTTTGTGCGTTCGTTATTTTTCGTGTCCCAAACAATACAATTCTTTCACGATAATATATTTTCATTTCTGCAGTTTAAAAATTTAGAGACTGGTTGTTTTTTTGTACAATGTCGCAAATTATCACTTGAAATACTGTCGGTCTTTTTGTAGTTAATACTTTTCCTCGAGTTAAACTCTAAATGCATGCTCGGGTGGCTTTTCCCACTTTTACAAGAAGTATTATAACGGCTTAACTGTAAATAATAATGCAGATTACTTTACCAATACCCGCTTTATGCAGAGGTGTTGCGATCTCTGCGACAATAAAGGGTTTTAAACTAACGAGAGGGATGCTTATTCGTGTATGGTATGTAATAATGGTAAACACCTGGTCGGCAAACTTTGTAAAAGTACAGTTTACTGCGTGTGTGCGTGACTATTTTGAATTTTATTTTACGTTTCTATCATTTTTCCTAAATTTTTTGAACTTTAAACTAAAAAAGTAATCGATCATGTAAGATAAATTTCAATAAAGGAAAGGTGGAAGTTCGTGGTGACGAGTTTTGTACGGACGACGAGTCTGTTTCGATAGTGAGGGATATTTAAAATGTAACTACCTACCTGACCTGAATTCAAATGAAGACAAGTCAAAAAGCTTGAAAAATAAATGTACAGTGGAATTCGTTTATTANCAATATAATTCAAAAATTATACAGATTGAAGTCAAAAATCTCAAGAATTATATTACGTAGTGTCCAAACTTATTGATTGATTGTTTGGGTTAATAATATCCTGTAAAATCAATACTATTGACAACCCCTTGAATTAAATCGTCCTTGAACTAGAAACGCATGCAACGACATAAAAACGCTTTTTAAAAAAATGAAAGGATTCGTCGGTAGAAATTCAATACTTTCCCTTCAAAAAACCCTCATTCCTTTATTGAACTTTCACCCCATTTCAGACAGGTAAATCAATGACGGACAGGTGCTTGTCTGATAGATGATTTATATATTGTAGATTTCAGGAAAAGGCATTAAAGTGGGTCTTGAAAACGGGTTATTTGACAAAAAAGAACTAAAAGGATGTAAACCGAGTCCATAATGCAATACCGGCAAATTTGAACTTATCCTTTAGATCTTTTAGGAGAAATCCATGAACTTTTTTTGGTCCATATTAAACTGAACGAAAAACTTTTTATTTGAAATATCTATTAACGTATTAGACACACTGCAATTGTTTCGTCAAACATTGACTCTATCAGACTATTATTTATTGACTTCCATGGAGTCCTCTGTTCTATTCTTTCTAACACCTCTTCATTTCTGACCTTCTTTATCCACGGTATCCTCATCATCCGCCTATAACACCACATTTCGAACGCTTCTAACCTATTCTTTTCCGCCACGCCCACCAGGTCCAGGTTTCGCATCCGTACAGCGCCGCACCCAAAACATACACTTTTAACGATCTTTTTCGAATTTCTAAATTAATCGTTCGCGAGAATAGAAGTGACTTCTTTTTGTTGAAGGCGACTCGACCCTGCGCTATCCTCTGCTTTATATCCCTACTACTTCTTCTGTCCTGACTTATCTGACTTTCTAGATAGCTAAAATCGGCTACTCCTTCTAATTTTTCGTCTGCTATCTTTATATTCGCTTTTTCCCTACTTTTTCTTCCCTTGCAAACCAGTACTTTTTTTATTTTTATTTATTTTCTTACAATACTATTTTGTCGATACCGCTTCCATTTTATTTAAAGCTATCTCTAACTCCTCCTTGCCAGATGCTGCAAATCCATGCATACTAATCTTTTGCTCCTGTATACATATCCCTACAGTCCGACTCCCTTGTACATTTCTATAATAACTGCTTGTTTCTCATTATACAAACTAGGTATCACTCTTCTATCTCAGTAACTCATCCCTACATTTTTAAGTATATTTAACATCTTGTCCCATTCAACATTGTCAAAAGCTTTTTCTAAATCTACGAAATACAGACAGCATCATATTAATATTCTTGATTACATTTTTAACTAAAAACATCTCTTTGGCTTACTATTCTGGAATAGTGTCTCGCTTTTGTCAAAAAAAAGAAAGATCGACCACCTGACTCCGAAGGAGGCCCCCTTGCAGTGTAATTGTCGATTCATAAATACTCTTACTAAGAACCTTAAAGTACCGTAGTAAATGCCGGAGTTCATTTCTTCCTTTTTGTACGAAAAACGAGAGGGTAAGACGGGGTGGAACGGGGGGGAGATTGACGTTGTACTACTCAATGGACACGGGCACAAGCAAGAAACAGCCCATTGTATTGTATCTGATGCTACGGGTAGAAATACACTACATACCTATTCGTACATAAATTCGACTATTTCGGAATCGGCTTCGACAAGCTTTCGTTCCTGTACAAACGAAGCAGGCAGGAAGTGGCCTATTATTGACTATATCATAATACTTCACTTGTATTCAGAAACAGTATGCGAGTTACTCAATGAATTTCG